CTGGGCAGCCCCGACACAGAGAAGCTTAGCCAGGGCTGTCAGCGCCCTTCACCCCCACTGACTTCAGGCAGCTGGGGAAATTCAAGGCTTTATCCTTTGTATCGGAAAAGATTCAGATACGCGCAGCGCCAAGCAACCAACCACGAGCGTATGCAAATGTTCACGCAGTGATTTATAGGTTTTTGCTTTTTGCAAATGCCATGTGTGTGTGCAGGATATGCAAGCAAATATACTCCAACCACACGGGACCAAGCACCCGCGTGCGCGCAGAGCTCACGCGGGCGAGACGGGGCGCACCTCGCTGCCGTCCTGCGAGTGCAACGATACCCTCAGCCCCCGGGTGAGTCACGCTGGTGATTGCCTCCTTACGGCCTCGCGCACGGGATCAGCCCGGTGCCGCGCTCAAGGCAGAGAGCGAGCCGCAGGCGCCCGCCACCGTCCCCGCAGCAAGTGGCCGAGCCTTCAAACTCATCCACGCACCGCGTTAGGCACCAACACATGACAGCATCCGCATGCGTCCATCTGGCCACCCACTCGTCAAACAGCCCCGAGCCATCTGCACCAACGGCGCCCATGTACAAATACAATACTCCGATCGGCACCGCAGCCGCCCACGCCAACCTGGCCACGTGGGAGCACTCATCCCCGAGCTCCACCGGACCTCTCTGCAGGCAGGAACGCGTGTACCGAACCTGCCTGCGCTGGGTACCCACGTAGCAATGAAGCCATCTGTGTCTGCGCACACCCAAACACAGAGACCGGCTCGGCTTCACCGCTCTGACTTCCCGACAGCCCTTCGGTACCGGCTCTGCTCTGGCTTGTCCCTTGCTGTGACGTCCCCACCGTCCCTCCCCGGCTGCTGGCATCAGCGTAGCACCACCAAAAGCACATCAGACCTGATGCTGGCGACGGTCGCCCCCACGGCATCCACTCCCTTCCCTGCCCCTGACACTATCCATCCTGATGAGGGGGAAGAGCTGGAAAAAAAGATCTGCCGATATCAGTACCTCCCATTTCAATGCCACTACGACAACACCAAAAGGTTAAAGAGATCAGTTTTCCTAACCAGCTACATCTGACAACGGCTGGAAAACTCCAGCAGGGATGTGCAGCGTGGGCAAATCCTTTGGTGCCCTAATATATTCCATCTCCCCCTCTTCCTCTCTCCTGTCTGTTCGTTCTTCAGCCTCTTCTGCAGCCTGAATCTCTCTATTCCCTCGCTTTCTCCGACATGTTCCCACCGGTTGCCAGAGACGGTCATGACACACGGACTCTGCCATCTCTCCCGTAAACCCCCCGCAATACTCAGCCAGGCACAGATTTATTATGAACATCCCATCACCCTCAAATCAAGGTGATATCTGTGGGTGCTGGGAGACCAGGCAGGGCTTATGAGGACCCCCCCGGTTCCTTCTGCCCCCAAAACCATGGGTGATGCATGCAGGCTGGGGGACCATCACATCCCACCGCTGCTGAGCCAGGGAGAGGGCTGTTCCCAACACTGCCTCCGACCCCCCCAGATCAGTGTTTGCCTGAAGACAGCGGTTTCTCTCAGCAAATCTGCAAGAGATTCTGCCGTGTATGAGCTTGGCTGGGTTTCAAAGCATAACGAAACCTAAAATTCCCTGGGAAGGGATTCTATAAAAAAAGGGGGGGGAAAAAAAAAAAAAGAAAAAAAATTCCTTTCAGCCGTACTGAAGTGTACTGTTTTGGGAAACAAATCAAAACGCCTCGTTCCAATGTTGACTTTGAAAGTTTTATGTGATTTAGACCATATGACACTGCAAAATAAAGGGAAAAAAGGCGTCTAGAAAGGAAAAAACAGAATTTTCTTCTGCTGAAACACAGAGACGAGGCTCCCTAACACCAAGCTGGGGGTTTATGTGGTTTGGGGCTTTTTTTTCTTGCCCAAATCAAATTTCTGTAGAATCAAACGCAGTTTCAAATACCTGCTCCATCTCTCATAACTGCATTTGGTACCCAGGGAAGGAGCCCGGGGGAGATTTGTGACACCGCCGCTCCCTTCTCCCCCAGCCCTGGCTGCAATCCCACAGGTCTGCCACAAAAAAAAACGCTCCCTGGGAACAAACATCCCCCCTCCTCAGGAAAAAACAGAGATACCTTCCTCCTCCCCAGCCTTTTTCCCCACCCCTAGCAACAGCCCTGATTGTTTGAGCTGTACATTTGGGGCAGAAAGCCTCTTTTAGCAGATTTCTGCCATGTCTGAGTGCCGAGGCTGCTGCTCGGGGCAGGGGTGGGCGACCCCAGGTCCTGCAAGGTGACCTGGTCCCTTCTCCAAGACCTCTCTGAAGGCACTGCTGCTCGATCTCCATCCATCCTCAGGAAGACACCCGAAGAGGGAATCACCCCTTGCGGGGACCCCCTTTTTCTTGTGGCAGCCCCCCCAGACAGCCGTGCCAGGCTCTGCTTCAGCTCTCCACCCTGCTGAGAAGCCCCACTGGGTTCGGGGGAGGGGGGGGCACCGGGGTAGCAGTTTTGGGGCAGGGGGGATGTCACTCACTCGATAGCAGGCATGTTTGGGGCAGACATGGGGCTGACTTCTTTGGCTTTCTGAAGAGCGTGCTTCTGGTTAAAGGCCTCCTCTTCCTCCTGCTCATCCTGCGGAGGAAAGAGGGGGGGTTGCTTAGTGGGATGCTGGGGTTTCAAGGGACGGTGCAGCCACGGGAGGCAGCGAGGGATGCACGGGGTTACCTTAGATGCCAGTGTGTGGGGGAGGAAAGGGGAGCAGGCACCTGTATTTCCAGAGACAGCCTTTATGTTATGATGGGGACTCAACTTCCCCACTACGGCAGATCTTACTGAAGGCGTCAGCGCTACTTAAATAAGTGAACCCAGCCCACTCCAGGCAAGAGCCAGGCTGTGCACGCCAGAACAGCCCCAGACGGCGTAGACCAGCTCAGCCCTCCCTTCTTCACAGCCACAGGGGCGAGATGGGCATCCCCCCCACTCCACGATGGAGTAGGAGGCAAGGCATCCATGAATGACCCCGGCAGAGACCGTATTGCTTTAATGAGTATGGTTGTGTCTCCAGAGCAAAAAATGTCATTAGAAGTCATTAGCACGCATTCAGCCTTTTCAAAAACTCAGCGCTCCCTTAATTGTTGCTGCTGGTACGCTGCGGGGCTCTCCCACCCCTCTCACCCCAGCGGCATCCAGCAGCCCCTGGAAGTGCCACCTGCACCCGCCACGGGAGGACAGGGACCCCTGCACGCGCCCCTCAGGCAAACAAGCACCATGCCCCGTTTCGTTTGCTGCTAAGGGGTCAGATTTACACCGGCGTGGAAATCTCTCAGTGAGCCACAGTGACCTGAGTAACAGACATGGGCTCTGCAAAAAAAAGAAAAAAAAAAAAGGGCGGGGGGGGCACCGTGGAATCGCTGGTTCCCTCCAAAGAGCAGCAACGACCCTTGCAGCTCTCGCCTACTCATCGTTATCCAGATGGTGCCCCAACATTTCAGCATTCCCCAAATATTTCCCAGCATGGTCTTAAAAACAGCTAAGCCCAATAACCTTCTCAAGCACCATCCTAAATTGCATCCTAAATCACATCCGCTGCCCTGCGCGCAGATGGGGAATAAATATTGACGCCATTGGAAAGCACTTCCCACCGTGCGTCTCCAGAGTGCTCGGGCAAATAACCCGAGTCCCTGCATCAGATCCCACCAGGCGGATGAGGGTTATCTCAACGTGACCGGAGGCAAACAAAACTAGGGAGCTTAAATGGAAAAATAATTAAGCCACGCTTGATGGGAAATGTGGGTGTTCCTGGAGAGACCAGCAGGTTTAAGCACTTTCCTAAATCAAAGTCTAAATGGCTTTGCCCAGCGATATGGGTTTGTGTTTCAGGGGAGCACCCTGCGTGCCTTCCCGGGGGGAAGAGCCTCCACTTCCAGTTTGACCCAACCTCTTTTCAAGGCTGAGCTAAGGGACTTGGTGGCCCCGGCTCTAGAGTGAGAACAGTCACAGGCACTGCTCCCGGTGCCTTTCCTGCTGGCCGCCTCCTTTGCTCTCTCTTCACAAGAGAAGAAAAAGGAGAAACAGGAACGTACCTTAGTGAGCTCCTGAGCGTTGGCCAGGTTGTCCACCGCAATGGCCAAGAACACATTCAGCAGAGTATCTGCGAGCAGCTAAGGATGCACAAGCCATGTGTTAAGGACATGTGTGTCTGCAGCCACCAAGACAGGGTGGTCCTGATGGCTCCTCACCAGCTCAGTGAGGAGCAGCCAAGGGGACAAAGTCCTCACTCATCCCATATATACAGCCCTCAGTGCACCTCCAGACAGCTCCTTCTCTGCGTTTGGGATATCTGGGGCTGCTGCACATGTGATGGGTCTCCCTCAGTTGGGAGACGAAGGAGGAGCAGCGGGTGGGGAGGGGGATGCCCCCAGAGAGGGTGATGAGATGGGATTGTCTCCGCTAAAAGCACAGCAGCCAGGTGGATACAGTTTCCGAACAAGGTGAGGACGATGAAGTAGATGGAGGACCACATGCCTGAGCGAACACCTCCCTGGGAGCGGATGCCGTTGTACATCACCTCGTTCCAGTCCTCACCCGTCAGGATCTGCAGGAAAACAAGCCAGCAGCTCTGTCACCCACACCTTCTCGTCACCTGGACAGCCTCCTCAATCTATCCCACCAACCCGCAGGAGCTGAGTACAGAGACTCTGTGCAGTGAGGGAGAAGATGTTGGACACTGCTGAGGATTTAGGCCTCCTCAGAAGAGTTTTGAAACTCTTCCACCTTGCATAACAGAGGTGAAAGAGTTTCTATCCCTTGCCATCCACTTTATTATACGGGAGGAGAGGGAGGAAGCAAGTTATATCCTAACAGCTGACAGAGGGGAACGTGTTTGGTTTAAAGAGCCTCTTCCAGCCAGTGGGGAGTGAGCAGAGAGTCCCACATCTCTTTGGCTGTGTACCCTTGCAGCCCAGCTCCTACCTGGAACACCGTCATGATGGCTGCGGGGAAAGTGTCAAAGTTGGCCGATGGCGTCCCATCAATGAAGTTAAACCTGGAAGTGGAACGGGGAGAACATAAACAGGCTGGAGTACCAAGGTCATCAAACCACCGACTGCTGTGCTGTCAGCCATCTTGTGCTTAGGAGGATCTTTCTCTGCTCTAAGGAAGGTCTCCTGAGCATTTGGTGCCAGAACCCAAAAGGTCTCCTGGCCAGAAGGACCCACGCAGCCTAGAGGCACTCCCCGAGCAGGGACTTTTGTATGGCTGAGGTACCTCAGCAGCAGGCTGAGGGGCAAGGCTACGGTCTTCCTAGGCACCTACGATGGTCTCATCGCTTGGCTTTAACACCAAGAAGTTCCTTTTCCCCAGATGCGAAACAACCTACCTGCCTCCAAACAACTGCATTCCCAGCAGGGCAAAGACTACAATGAAGAGGAAGAGGAGGAAGAGCAGACTGATAATAGACTTCATGGAGCTCATCAACGAGACCACCAAATTCCTCAGGGATGCCCAGTACCTAGAAAACAGAGACAGTGCTGGAGTACTTGCAGTGATGCTAACAGGAGAGCAGGAGCAACTGGCTCAGGGCTGCAGCCACAGTCCGAGATGAAGGGTGACAGGCACGGACGGTTGGTACATACTTGGTTATTTTAAATATTCGCAGGAGACGAAGGGCTCGTAGGACACTGATCCCAAAAGAGGTTCCTGGTCTGAAGATAGCCCAAACTACTTCAAAGATGCTTCCCACTGTGACCTGAGAAGCAGACACAGCTATGAGTCAAAGACAGGCTGTTGTAGGAAACCTTCATGTGCCTGAAGATAAGGGACCCACCACCCTGCCCAAGACCTGGTGTCTCGGTCTGGCACGTCCCGGCAGAAAGGGCTACCCTGCCCACTGTGAGGGCCACCCCATTCTTCTCCCCCTGGGTGCCTTGTGCTGCAGACACCTGCCAAACATCTCCCCCCAGCACCCACAGCATCTCTGGGGCCGCTTACCCCACAGTCAAAGCAGTTGAAGGAAGAATGGAAGTAAAGGCGTGGCCCCATCCCGTACATCTTTAAGGACATCTCCAGGAGGAAGAGCCCAAGAAACAGAAACTCTGCATAGTCTGAAAGAGAAAACCCAGACATGTTACCCTTGGGGGGCCCAAGCTGCGAGGAGCATCCTGTGTGCATCCATCCATAGCCCACATAGCACATCAGAGATGTGGACATGTTGAGGACCATGCTGCTTCCCCCAGCTCTCTCAGGCCATGGGGTATGGGATGAGGGAAGCTTGTCTGAGAAGACCTCAATTGTACATAACAGAGCACCAACTCAAGATCATCTCTCAGGGTAGGTGCACTGGTGTCCCAGGGGTTTGAGAAGACCAGAGTTGGCCGGCACGGAGCAGAGCAGCTCTTTAACATTATACAATGGTGGTTGGGATGTCTGCAAAGACATTAACCGCATGACACTGTAGGGGAATATTAGCAACCTGGATTTAAATCATTGCACAGCTGGAACTTGGCCAGGGTAACTGAGCCAAACAGCCAAGAGCCAGTGAAAAGCTTCTCCAGCTATTTCACGAACGTTAGCAGGCAAGAGTCTGGCTCTTCATCTTGTCCAAAAGATGCTTCTCACCACGACCAGCTGCCATACCATACTGTGGCGTGCTGGCATCCCGGCAGGCCTGAGCATGCTAACGCAAATTTGGGCAGACCTAGTGCTCAACGGGGACATTTTCAAGGTGAGTAAGAGTAACACGGCTGAGAAAACAGCTCTGTCCCTACTGCAGCAGCTGAGGAGCAACACACAGCTGCCGTGGGGTTGACCACACTGCTCTGCAATTAACACCATGCTAGAACAGACATGGGTGCACTGTCTCCGAGACCTGACCTTGTACTATGGCCCATGGCGGGCTGGGAGATGCTCCAGTAACTGGTTTCAAACTTGGGATCTCCATGCCATGCTCTGCACCAAAACTTTAACCAGGGGGTTCTCCCACGACCAGTCTCATCCCTGCAAACTCACACCTTTCCAGCAATTGTTTGTAGGCATTCAAAGATGGATCTCCAGAAAGCTTTCCATCATCACTGTTCACATTTTTAGGATGAACCCAACTGAGACCTGCAGTCTGTTTCTCCCTCTTGACAAACACATGCACTGAAATACATGGGGCCAGTAAAACTCCTCCACATTTGCCCACAGGGCTGAGACAGCCACCAGTGGCCACACGTCCTAGGGCAAAGCTGAATTAAATGGTTGTACACGATCCCTTTTTTAATCAACAGTGAATGTAATTCAAGTTATCCCCCACCCAGCTCCATATCAGCATGACTCTGGTGGGATTTATCCCCACGTGCCCTGGGGCAGGGAGCGAGGGCGTGCTGCAACCTCTGGCCGCTGGAGATAAGAAGGTTGCAGGAGATTTTGCCTGCCCATGCAGTGCTCTCACACCTACACAAAGCCCAGGGACTCACAGAGGAAGTGGGTGAGCCAGGCTGGCTGGTTGTGATGGACGATGGCCACGCAGGCAGTGTTGAGAGCCACCAGGCTCAAGACGATCCAGTAGAAGACCTGGGATTTCACCATGTGGCGAACGGAGATGCGCAGGAGTCGCTCCTTGTGCCGTAAGTAGGAGGCACCGTCCACTCTGGCACCTTTGAGGCCAGAGTGACTCAAGGGGTTACCTATGGGAAAAGAGGGGGGAGAAGGAGTTGGGTGCTCCAGTCAGGGTGAGAGAAGGAGTTGGGTGCTCCACCCTTCCCTACAACATGAGACAGGACAGACAGCTCACAGACACCGCTCTTATGGGGCACAACTTATCCAGACAGTTTTTACGTGGCACAGGGGGCAGCAGGAGGTTTGCCCCCTTTGGTGCCAAACTAGCAGAGATGGCTGAGCTGTGACAATCTCCACGTGATAGGTGTGACCCTCGCAACTCAGTAACTCCAGAGGTTTTGGGGAAGCAAGCTCCAAAATGCACTGACCCAAGGTTGGATGAAGAGGTCTTCTCTGTGCCAGCCTCCGCTCGCCCACGGAGGAGATATCAACGCAGTGCTCGTCGCTTGAGTCACGGTTCATGGCATCTGTCCGGTTCCTTTTGATAGTGGCTCGCCTGAGCACTGGGAAGGGAAGAGGAATGGGTGTGGGTGGTCCAACTCTGCCAGTAGCCAGCTCATTGGACCAGGACCTGGTGATCAGTACTTGGCTAACCTGGGTCTGGTAACAGGACGGAGACACCCAGCTAACCCTAGTCCAGAGCTAGCTCTTGTGTAGGACCAGACATCTGGCCTCCACGCTCTCTCAGGGGTTACGCTGTCAAGCCACCTCCCCACATCCCTCTCTTGGGCTGCAGACCCCACTGGGGCATCCCCAGACCTCCCACCTCCCATCACAGCTGGAGGGTTTCGACCTCCAGCTGCAGGCAGATTTTTAGGCAGGGCATTGCTTGTCTTACCTTCTAAGGCTGAGGTCCCAGCATTTTTGTTCTCTTCAGCCAGCATGACTTCCTCTACGCAAAACACACAGTTCAGCATCAGGAGACGAGACAAGACACCGTTGGCTGAGCACATCAGACCTCACTGCCTTGCACCTAAGCACTTTGCCCAGCCTCAAGGCGGTCACTCTAGGTTGCAAACTCTTGTCAAGTATTGGTTAAGTGTCCAAAAGCAAATTCTGGTGGGTGGCAAGTGGCACCGACCACACTTTGCATCAGAAAGAAAAATTACTTCCGGTCAACCGTTCTTCCTCCACTGTAATTAACCCCACCAAAGAAGTTGAACATTGTAGACAGGTCTGGGGCTCAACATCCCAACCCAGGACCAAAGCAGAGGGCTGGGGCTCAGGCCTTGTTTCAAGTTACCATCTTTTTTCAAGTCTGAACACCAGATGAAGGTGTAAGTCTTCCTTTCCCAGAGCTGAATGCACTGAACTGATCCTCATGGGGAGCAAGTAAGGACAGGGGCTGTGGCAGTTTGGGGACCAGCACCCACAGGCTGCCCCACCTGGGTGGGGGGCAGGAGGGAAGCCGGCAACCCCCCACC